AAGAAACAACAAGCACTTCGCTCTGAAGGAAAGAACTATGCAAGCCTTCAATGATAACCATTACACTACTGCCCCGCTTGATCAATCCGATCTTAGCTATCACCCATATCCATCAATCTTCAAACACCTTAATATCCTCAATTTCGTCTCTCAATAATAATACAGCTTCCCGAAAACCCTTCCCTCAAATATCCCACTCAGCAAGTACAAAACCGAAAACATATGACGTGATGACTGACAACCGCGAAAACGGCTAGTTCTCCACGCAACAACCTAGAGCGACAAAACGCCTTGCTATATAGCTACCCACAAGTCATTCCCCGCTATAAACCTATACCACTATCCCCTTCAAACTAACTGATTCACTCAAATGCAATATGTACAGCGTTCATCTTTGTATCGTAAACAGTATATCTCTATGACATCGTCAGGAATAAGGCTGAAAGTGTTGGCATGTTAATCAAAGTCCTGAACATACAGGTACGTTATTTGTCAGGTGCTGATGTAGCATAGGCATTAGTAATCATGGCATGAGTGTTACAATGTCCGTGCCTGTAAAATCAGAGATAAATACTCTTTCAGCAAATGTGTTCGGTGGTGGGATTTTCGCTGTTTCAAGGAATTGCTATAGAGGTAATATGTCAAGTTGGTACTGTGTTCATGGGACTATCTTCTCTAATATCAGGATCTTTATACGGCATTAGGTTGGCAGGAGAACGTTAGAGGTAGAATCAAGAAGGGCTGGTCCATTACTTTTGGCATATCATGATATGATCACAGAATATGGATAGTGAATAGGTTTGCAATACTACCAATAGATTCTGATACTTAGAAGACACCATTACAGCTTCCAATACAGTTACTTAAAGCAACATTTAATCACAGATACATAGATTTATTTAAAGGAACAACAAGGCAGTAAGGAATGAGGACATACATAAGGAAAAGAATCTTGTAGAGAATAATAATCTTAATGATCGACGTATAACGCGTTTTATATCGATAATCTAAGAGTCAAAAACCCTTTCAACGGATTTACTAAATATTAAAATCACCACGCTAAAATGAACTATTAATGGACATGGCTAAATTTTGTATCGCTTATACAATCTATTTCGATTTGATATAGATTTTTTTTTTGAAGAATTCTTAATTATCTTCTGTCTGGGTACTATAACTCCGAGGATCGCTTTCTTGTCCATTAAGAAGTAGTCCTACTCTCAAAACATATCTGTAACAATTTTGAAGTCGCAAAACTCCTTATCAAGTTTATATACATTGTATAAGCATGCCGGCTCGAAACATACTCCAGGTAACATGGGATTCCGAAAGACCTACAGACTTTTCGTACAACTACCCTTTATATATCTTGATGTTTCTGATTTGCTCTTTCTACCTATCATGTATGCGCAATTATCCAAACATGATTTTCTATAGAGTAGATTTAGCAAGTGTCTCATACATTATTATAACGCTAGTTTTAACGCTAATTATGACAAAAGTGGAAATACGTCTGTTTTAATGCGTGTTATGTATTATCACTGTAGACATGTTCCTCGCTGTTCGCTTATCCTTACCGCGCCTCAAAGTTCCTATTATTGCGTGCCCTATTGGACGTCCGATTAATTGCTAAGTATGAAGAGCTCTAAACGTAAAGCTAACGTCATACTTTATAAAATAATATATGGAGTTGCTATAATTACTAATGTGATTACTTTGGTTTGAAGTATAATTGCCTTGATCTGGTGGAGTCTCATCTCGTTTTCCTAATTTGCTATCTATCTTCTCTATGTCCTGGAAGTTTCATCTGGTCCAATCGTCTACATTCTTAATTTTTGCCGTACTAAAAGGTATAATGCCAACATGGAAAACCAGTATGGTAGCAATAATATGGTTCCTGACAAACGTGAAGTGATGTGGGAATTTAAAGATATTACTATAGAATATATAATGAGAATAAATAGGTGGATTAATGCAACCTCTCCAAAATACATAGTCATGTAGTAGTATGAAAGAGTCATACTTGTAATAGATCAAAATCCCCCATTTGCTAAGTTAGATTATTTTTCTTTTTGGAGGTGTGACATTTCATGTGAAATTTTTAACAAAGTAGAATACGTCTAATATGTGCTATTTTATCATAACCTTCTACTTTTGTCAACCAATATTTTCTAGATTTTTTTCCTATAAATCTGAAAATTACCTGAACGTAAACCGATTAGTTTTGCAAGAGGCCTGTTTATTTTCGACACTTGTCGGATTGTTTCAAAAGCCTTTGATGGTTCGTGTTTGTTAGATCATTTGTACGCTTGACTAGCTCTTAAATGTATCAATTAAACTTATATTCCCAATATATGTTCAATAAAAGTCTTTCATTTTGAAATCTTTAAGTTTGGATGATTTAATTGACCATTGCTAGGGTTCTCACGAGTATGACCAAGTCATCCAAATAGAAGCTGATAAGCGCATCTAATTCCTTCGAGTACTACAAATATGATTCAGCATAAGAAGATTTAAATCACATTCCTACCTACCTATTAACTAATTGACGCCGTATGTTCAGGACTTTGGTTTACATGCCAACACTTTCAGCCTTATTCCTGACGATGGCATAGAGATATACTGTTTACGATACAAAGATGAACGCTGTACATATTGCATTTGAGTGAATCAGTTAGTTTGAAGGGGATAGTGGTATAGGTTTATAGCGGGGAATGACTTGTGGGTAGCTATATAGCAAGGCGTTTTGTCGCTCTAGGTTGTTGCGTGGAGAACTAGCCGTTTTCGCGGTTGTCAGTCATCACGTCATATGTTTTCGGTTTTGTACTTGCTGAGTGGGATATTTGAGGGAAGGGTTTTCGGGAAGCTGTATTATTATTGAGAGACGAAATTGAGGATATTAAGGTGTTTGAAGATTGATGGATATGGGTGATAGCTAAGATCGGATTGATCAAGCGGGGCAGTAGTGTAATGGTTATCATTGAAGGCTTGCATAGTTCTTTCCTTCAGAGCGAAGTGACTTGTTGTTTCT